CTTTTCTTCTTTTTTTTTTTTTTTTTTTTTTTTTTTTTTTTGAGACAGGATCTCACTGTGTAGATGAGGCTGGCCTTGAACTTACTATGTGTAGCTCAGGCTGGCCTCAAACTCATGGAGATCCTCCTGCCTCAGCCTCGAAAGTGCTGGGATTCCAGGGATGCGCCACCACTCCCAACCTAATTTGAGATATGTAAAAGTGAGTTTTCTAGGCCAGGTGTGGTCGCGCACCCCTGTAGTCCCAGCACTTGGGAGGCTGAGGCAGGAGGATCATTGTGAGTTCAAAGCCAGTGTAGACCACACAGTGAGCTTAAGGCTGGCCTGACTACAGAGCGAGACCTTGTCTCAAAACAAAAACAAAAACAAAAAACAAGAGAACATGGAAGAACATGGACTAATTTATGTATGTATATATGTATGCATTTATTTCTGGAAGCAGAAAAGGCTTCAAATATTAAAATTTTCTTTTAAAAATTAATTTTATTGGTACACATTTGATATGCATAAGGATCATATTTGCTGTAGAGAAGTTGTACTTGCACATGATGCATCTTTTTTTTTTTGGTACCGGGGATAAAACTCAGACCTTGAGTTTCGAGGCAGGTGTGGCGCCACTGAGCTAGATCCCAGCCCACATGACATATTTTGATTCTTTTTTTCCGATTCCCTCCCTTCCCTTCAGTCCCTCTTTCCCTTTCCATTTACCAAAGCTTTGTTGCCATTTCCCCCTTATGTTCTCTTTATTTCCCTATTTCCTCCCCACCCCGTGCTCCTTCCCACTTGAACATTTTTTCCCTACTTCTTGATATTTATCATCCATACCCTTTGGGTTACTCACACCAGAGAAACAGTGCGATATTTAAACATGTGCGTCCCATTTATTTATTTAAAATTACGTTCTCAAGGTGCATCCATTTACCTAAAAATGTCTCCAGTTTGTCCTTCTCTATGGCAGAGCAGGACTCCATTATATATGAAAACCACATCTTCTTCATTAATTCGTTGGCTGATGGGCAGTTGGGCTGTTTCCAAGACTGAACTATTGCAAACTGTGCAGCTATAAACATGGGTGTGCACATATCCCTGTGGTCTGATGTTTTTAACTCTTTCGGGAAGATACCAAGAAGGGGAACAGCTGGGTCAAATGAAACTTCTAGTTTTAGTTTTTTGAGGAATCTCCACACGGATCACCATCCAAATCCCCACCCTTCTAGATAAATCTTTATTGGTAGGACATTGCCTATGTCCCTCCTTCATTGCAAGAGAAATGAAAATGTCCTCAGTGACCGACGTGGACCTTCCAGTACCCAGCTGACGTTCCCAGTGTGGAAATCCTACAAGCACTTTCTCAGTGAGGTGTGCAGAGCAAGGGCCTCCTCCCTGTTCCCTGAGCCCCTTGACTGCCTCTGCCTCTGTCTTGGTTTCCTTCTCGTTGCTGAGACAAAATACCCGACACCTAAAGTTACAGGAGGAAAGGTTTATAGACGTTTTGGTCCCTTGTTGGCTGGCTCCAAGGCAGGGTGGCATCAGAGAGGAGAAACAGTTCATGGCAGACAGATGGCAGGCAAAGCAGCAAGCGGACAGCAGTGGCTTCTTTCTGCCCCTTTTCTATTCTACCCAGGTTACAAGGCTCAGGTTGTGCCAAACCAATCAGTGGACTGGTTTAGCAACCACACACCCTTAATCTCAGTGTCACACTCTCTCGACTCAGCCTCCTTTGAGAAGCTCCACCTGTGACTACGTGAGGCTTTGGGGTGACAGCTAGACCCAGCCATGACCCCCTCCCAAGTCTGGCCTGTTTCCCACAGGCCTCCACCCTGTCAGTTCACAGCCCCTCACTTCTGGCTTCTGCTGTACCCGGCCCAGGAATGCATTCCTGCTTCTGGTGCCTGCCTTGGACCTGGCCTTTCCCCCAGTGCTTTGTGCTGGACATGCAGCCCTGAGGGACCCTCTGGGCTATGGGAGGGACCTAGGGCCACCTCAGGCCACCAGCTCCCTGCTGCTACTCCTGGGTACCCTTTCCCTCCTAGTCTTTCCAGCAAAAGACACTTGTCTCTGTGACAATGACCCAGCAGAGAGGCACCTTCATCTGTCGGCCCATAGATGCCAGGGAGCCCCCGCTCTGAGTTCCCAGCCCCTCCTCTCTGCAGGAAGCCCAAACCCCTCAGGAGGGAGAGGAGGCCGGAGGCAGATGGCAGCTCCCTTTTGCCCACTACGGAAAGGTTAACTCCTCCTGCTTGTAACCATTTCCTGGTTTTCTCTTGCTGTCGCTGTTGTGAAATTCTGGGATGATTCCTTCCTTTCTTATTTGAGATAGGGTCTCAGACTGGCCTTGAGCTTGTGGTGATCCTTCTGCCTCAGCCTTCTGAGTGCTGGGATCCCAGGTGTGCACCACCAGTCCTGGCTGACTCCGTTCTTTCCGAAGCCTTTGTTTGGCGCCCACTGTATTCCAGCCACTGAAGGTAAGAGCAAGGGCATGGAGTTAGCGCAGTGGTAGGCAGCTTGCCTGGGTTTGATCCCCGGCACCAGGAACAAACAGACACCAACAAAAGCAAAGCAAGACGGAAACCCACAGGGGAGCCAGGTTTGTGCCCCGTAGGGGATTCCTGTTCTGGCCGAGGGAGAAGGAAACCTAGAGTGGACACACAGGGAGAGATAGGTGCTTGCCCGGGGAAGAACAGCAGGCAGGAAGGAGCTAGTCGTGCTCCTGGAGCGTGAGGAGAAAGAGCCTTAGTGGCAAAGGCCGAAAGGGCAGGTTACGCGGGACTGGGGTGAATGCTACCCCGAAGCAAGCTGTAGCAGGGCCACGGTAGGGCACTCAGTTTATTGCTGTTTTTATTAGTCTGCAATTGCAGTGCATGATGATCACCTCCCTCATGGGGAGTCGGCGCACGTACAGCGCACATTTAGTCCTCTCCCCTCCCTCCGTCTCTCGGCCCCTTCCCATTTGCCAAAGATCTGGCTCTGTTTCCCATTATCTATCTTGTATTGCCCCCTCTATTTATAATGTGTTTATCACACGAGACCAACCCTGTGATCTTTATTTCATTTAATGTCATGGTCTTAAGAGGCTTCCATTTTGTCTCTCACAAATGATTCAAGTTTACCCTCCTTTGTGGCAGAGTAGTACTCCACTTTAAACACCACATCTGGGTACAGAATTTTAGGTCCTCCACAGCCCCACAGGGCAGGAACAAGGCAAAGGGGTCAGGGAAGCAGGGAGGAGGCTTAGCAGACCATTTATTTTATTCTTTCTATTTATTTCTCTCTATTTATTTCAACTCAGGACCTTGCTCTTGGGAGGCAGGTGGCGGAACTTATTCTTCTGTTTTGTTTGGATTTTAAAACTATGTATACTTGAATTTTTTAAATCTTAAAAATAGGCAGTCTTAGAGCTGGGGATTTAGCTCAGTAGTTCCAGCACCTGCCTCACAAGCACAAGGGCCTGAGTTCTATCCCCGCCCGCCCCCAAATAGGCAGTCTTTGTGAAATGGAATTAGTCACGGCTTCTGTGTTACTGTACATGGTTTATGACAGATACAAAGAAAAGAAATATAATAAATGGAGTTTGATTTTAAAAATCTGGATGAGCTGGGCATGGTGGCACTTCCCTGTAATCCTAGCACTCGGGAGGCTGAGGCAGGAAGATCACCATGAGTTCGAGGCCAGCTCATACGTAACACATAATGAGTTCAAGACCAGCCTAAACCATATAACAAGCCTGACCACTGGACATAACCACTGGACAGTTTCCCCTAAAGTTTTTTTCCCCCTAAAGTTTTATAAATACAAAAAAAAACCTCCGTAAGATGAAAAAAATGTAAAAGTAGCTCATCCTTCATTTAAAAATACAAAACAACTGGGCATTGTGACACATGAATGTAATCTCAGCACTCAGGAAGCTAAAGCAGGAGGGTCACGAGTTGAAAGTCAGCCTTGAGTACATATTGAGATCCTGTCTTGTAAAAACGTCTAAATAAATATAAATAAATAAATACAAGTACAAAACAGGATTGGGTGTGTAGCTTAGTGATAGCATTTGACCCCTTAAGTTCAATTCCCCCGTTCATACACAAAATACAAAAATAAACCAAAATGAGCACACTGGCACACACACACACACACCAGTACCTACAATATACCAGACAGAATCCCTGTGAGACAAAGGTGAAAAGATAAGGTCTTTGCCCTAAAGATACAGTTTAGAGGACCAGGGATTTAGGTCGGTGGTGCTGCTGCCTGCCTCGCAAGCTCAGCGACCTGAATTCGATCCTCAATACCAAAAAAAAAAGAAAAAAAAGATACAGTTTAGAAGGTAGAGGGCAGGGGATGTGGCTCAGTGGTTCCACCGCCTGCCTTGCAAGAGCAAGGACCCGAGTTCGATCCCCAGTACCAATGGAAAAAAAAAAAAGATATGCAGCTGAGTGTGGTGGTGCAGGTCTGTAATCCTAGTACTAGGGAGGCTGAGTCAGGAGGATTGCTGTGAGTTCAAGGCCAATTTGAAGTACATAGTGAGACTCTGTCTCAAAAAACAAAACAAAGCAAAAAAAAAGACCCCCCCCAAAACCAAAGGTAACTGTTAAAACTATCTTAATTAACATGAAAATGTGCTCACAATGATCCAGGAGATCAGGGCGTGGCAGAGCCGGCTGGGAAAGTGGGCGGGACCTGTTAACTGCAAGATCCTGGACGCATGCCCAAACCCTGCCACAAGAGCTTGCAGGTTTTCAATGGGAAGCGCCGACCTGACCTCAGCCTGAGGAGTGGGAGCCCAGCAACATCTCAGAACCCGGATGTAGAAGTTCTCACAGGTGTACTGAAGATTGGAACAGTATAAAAGGTCACAGAGGCCAAGAAGAGCTTGCTAATGTGACTTTCTTCCCAGTAGCCCGCCCTGCTTCCTCCAGGGTATTGTTTCATTGTTTTTTCTCCTTTTACTCAGCCCAAGCTCACTCTGCAGAGCCAGTTTCTCCTTCACTCTTTGCTTTTACTTTCTTGAACCCCTGCCTTTTTGCTCATTTTGTTCACTTCTTTGTTCGAGGGAAGAACCTGTAGTCAGAAGCAGCCCGTAGCATTTTGGGGCAGCCAAGAGATTCCAATAACAACACTGTAACTGTATGAAAAAAAGGGCAGGAAACAACTCTATATAACGGTGAGTGAGCTCATGTCTCCTAAGAAAACTTCGATGGATATATGCTAATGGCGTGTGTGTGTGTTTGAGACAGGGGTCTTGCTGTATAGTCAAGTGGGCCTCGAACTCACTATGTAGTCCAGGCTGCCAGGCTGGCCTCCAACTTGTGGAGATCTTCCTGCCTCAGCCTCCCAAGTGCTAGGATCACAGATGTGTGCCACTACACTCAGCGATATATACTAATAGAAGAATCTAATACTCTCTAGAGGCTTTTCAGTGAACCTCATCTCTGCGCTTTTAAACATGGTTTGGCTGAGACGCTACATTGCCCAGGCTGGAATGTACCCTCCTGCCTCGGCTTCCCAGAGTACTCAGATTACAGGCTTGCACCACCACTTTGATTACGTATTTTTCTTGTTGATATCTGTAAGTAATCTTTACATTTTTATTGTTTTCCATGTTGTAAAATTACCTGCTGTGACTATACGTTACTTTTATTTTTTGCTTTTTGGCCCTCAGGTGTGGAGAATTAAGTACTGAATTTGTTCATGGCACCACTGTCAGTTTCTATAAAGCTGCTCTCTTGTTTTAATCAACTTTGTTCCTTTTTAATCTGTTCTATTTTTATTATTTTAAAAATAAATTTTGGCCGGACTGTGGTGGCTCATGCCTGTAATCCCAGCACTCGGGAGGCTGAGGCAGGAGGATCGCTGTGAGTTCGAGACCAGCCTGGGCTACAGAGTGAGTTCCAGGTCAGTCTCAATGACATAGTGAGACCCTGTCTCAAAAAAACAAAGCAAAACAAAACATTTTATCCCACCCCTCCCCTCCCTATGTACAAGAGCTTTGTTCCCATTTTTCCCCTCTACTTTCACTTTTTTCCTTGTCCCTTCCTTCCCCCCTCCTCCCTTGTTCCCCTTCCCATCTGAACACTTTCTTTCCTTTTCCCACTGCCCATTATCCATTCAGTCCTTATTTCCACTTTCAATTTCTCACACCAGAGGAGAAAAATGTGGCACTTAAACGTGTGTGCCCGATTTATTTCACTTAGGAGTATGGTCTCAGGGTCCACCCATTTAGCTACGTATGTCTGAAGCTCGTCCTTCTTCACGGCAGAGTAGTGCTCCCTTGCATACAAAACCACATCTTCTTTATGCGTTTGTCCGTTGATGAGCATGTGGGCTGTTTCCAAGACTTAGCTATGACACACTGTGTTGCCATAAACACGAGTGTGCATATATCACTGTGGTAGGATGATTTTAATTTTGGGGGAAGATATCAAGAAGAAGAATGAAACCTCTATTTTTTTTTTTGATAAATTTCCACAACGGTCACACCTGTTTCCACTCCCACCATCAGTGGAGAAGGGTTGCTTTTCCCCACAGCCCCTCCAGCATTTGTTTTTTGTTTGTTTGCTTTTTGTTTTATGAGACAGGGTCTCACTGTGTAGTTCAGACTGATCTAGAACTCACTATGTAGCCCAGGCTGGTCTCGAATTCCCAGCGATCCTCCTGCCTCAGCCTCCCGAGTGCTGGGATTACAGGCATGCACCACCATGCCCGGCCTAGCATTTGTTGTTGATTTTGTGATAGCGGTCATTCTTTTTGGGGTGAGGTGGAATCTCAGTGTTGTTTTTTTCTTTTTCCTCAGCACTATTTTAATTTGCATCTCTCAAATGACCAGCGATGTTGAACATTTTTCATATATTTATTTGCCACTTCTAATCTTCATCTGAGACACATCTATTTCAGATGCCAGTTTTTGCATTGGGTCTTTAAATTTAAGGGATCTGTTAATCTGTTTTATATACACAATTTTCCCCCCATGCTGGGAATCAAACCCAGGGTCTCTCCCATAATAGGCAAGTCCTCTACCATGGCCCATGAATTACTTTCAAAATAAGAACAGAGCCAGGTGTGGTGCCACGTTTGTAATCCCAGCTGTTGGGAGGCTGAGGCAGGACAACTGCATTGAGTTCGAGGCCAGCCTAAATTCCATAGTGAGACCCTGTCTCAAACAAAAAGCCCCAAAACAAAATAAAACAAGAACAAGCAGTGAGGCTCATATAAGGGCCTTACTTAGCCATCTGTAAGAAAAGCAGGAGTGTCCGATTGTAGGCAAGGCCACAGTCTGGGCTGAATTACAAATTGTTCATCCTACTGCCTGCTGTAAGGAGCAGAGACATGAATGTCAGTTGTTTGCCCCAGGAGTCACTGGCTTATAACTCCCAGCCGGATTCCTACCCCTGAGTTCCTAGCCTCAACAAGAGCCGTGACGGAGGGACCTGGACCCGCCCGGGGAGCCTGCCATCTTGGCTCTCCCGGGGGTCTCCCTCAGCATACAGACCTCCCCTGTCATACAGACCAGGTGCGGCTGAAACGTCTTCGGTCTCACAGATCTGGCAACTGGAAGTCCAGAATCAAGCCGTGGGCAGGAGCGATCCCTCTTTCGGCTGTGACGGAGAAGCCGTTTCAGGCCTCTCTGCCAGCCTCGGGAGCCTCAGGTGCTCCTTGGTCTGCAGCAGGTGGCTGCCTCCCCTGTGTCCTCCCTTCGTGGGGGGCTCGGCTGCCTGGACATGTGCATTTCACCTTGTTCTAAAGCCACTGGTCCGCTTAGATGGGCGCCCACCTCCCGACACCTCCGTAAGGGCCTGAGCTCCAGACCACCCGGCATCGATGACCGTGGTGTGGTGGGGGGGGGCCGCCCCCGCCCATGGCCGCCCGTCCCGTCTCACCTCTTCCCGGGATGTCATCGAATCGCTCAGCGTGGCTGCAGAGATGAGAGGTGTTCCGGGACGGGCGGACAGCAAAGCCAGCCTGCTGGTGGTGGGCTCCTGGCCTTTCCGGATTCTGCGGAAGGGAGCCTGAGGGGCAGATGCTCAGACGACAGCGAGGCTTGCGTCTCGGGACCCGGTCACCCCTAACTGGGCACCGGTCCCGGAGGGCCTGAGTGTGTTCACTCGTTGGGCGCCAGACAGAATTTACAGGTCACTTACGGAAACCGCCGAGCGGCGCTCTGACCTGGGCAGTCAGGGCCAGGTAACGTCACACCGCCCGGAAGCGGGTGCGGACACGAAGACCTTCTATTCCTGGGCGCCTGCGATGTCCAGACACTGCCTCACCCTTACAACCTCTAGATTCATCTGCCTGAAAAAGTGTGTAGTTCTTGAGGCATTGGCATGGTCTGTCTGGGTTTGCCACAGCAAGTTAGCAATAAACATTGGACTCCGGTCTAATTCAGTGTTAAAGGTTGTGTCAGAAGTGCGGCCCTGGCCAGGCGGGTGGGAAACGGGGAGAAAATCAAGTGGGGGAGGAAGCCGCTGGTTGTATAGGTGGAAGTCTGGGCTTGGGAAGGGTCAGGGAACAAGCTCACCTCTGAATAGGGACACTCTCGGCCATTTCCTCTTCAAAAACAATTAAGTTGAACGTGGGATTTAATCACACTAACAGGGCAATTTTGAAAATGTCAGCAAACTGAAAAAAAATTTTTGAGAAAAGATCTTATGTAGTTCGAGCTGGCCTGGAACTACGTAGCCCAGGCTGCACTCGATCTGGCAGTGATTCCCCTTGCCTCAGCCTCCGGAGTGTTAGGATTACAATAGGGCACCGCTATGCCTGGCAAAAGTTTTTTTTTGTTACTGGGACTCGAACTCGGGATCTTGGAATTGCGAGACAGGCCGAGGCGGCAGCACCACTGAGCTAAATCCCCCGCCCCATGGCAACTTTTTGATACTATGAAGAATCAGTCTGAAGCAAGTTCCTTCCCCTGCCACCCCGATTTTAGTTTTAGTCTGCTTTTTTTTTTGGTACCGGAGATCGAACTCAGGTCCTTGTGCTTGCGAGGCAGGCAGCAGAACCACCGAGCTAAATCCCCGGCTCTAGTCGGCTTTCTTGCCTGGCCTGTGCTACTTTGAATGGCTGCCTGTGCAATGTTCTAGTAACTGTAACAGGGAAAATTTTGTTGGAAAATATTTAAAGCAAGTGCCTCTTGAGTTGCATAGGACAGAGGCTAGTATTTACTACACATCTAGTGATTTATAAAGTGGTTACCTGATGCAATTGTATTTGGGAAAGCTTACAACTCCACAAAAAAAAAATGTTATGAACTGTCATGACAAAATGACACTTGATATCAACCTATGTATTAGCGACTTGATATAAAACAGTGCATCTCTACATACACACCTTTTAAAGCTATTTATGGAACGCCATTATCTTGCAGTTGGTACAAAATATATTTTTTTAACCGGTGGCTTTTTCCTAATTACAAAGTAGCCAGCACAGCACACTTGGGTCTCAAGGCCTGGAAAAGCACACCCAGCAATATTTACCGGGGAAGAGCGGCACACTGGGTAAAAATGAAAGCCAGAATATTAAGGTTTTGATCGTTAAGGCCGAGTGTGCAAATCACGAATCTGGAAAATGCAGTGGGGTACGAAAAGCAGAAAAGCCAGGTTATTGGCCAAGGACAGCCACGGCGCAGGAGGATGCACGGAAGGGGCATCCCATGGAGGCGGCAGGCTGCGCCCGGAAGGCGGGGAGGGACTTGAAGCCGATGGCGAGCACGGGAGAGCGTGCACAGCCTAAAAAGTTTTGCTGACGGCTCGATCGGTCATCCGCGGGCGCCAGGGCAGGGTGCAGGCGCGATGTGACCAAAGCGGCGGCTGCGGGGC